GTTTGACTTGGTTCGGCCGGTTTGAGCGGTCCGGCGGTTTTTTTGAACACCCCTAGTTAGATTGGTCAATGTAAAACTGAAAAGTTAGGGGAGAGGGAGAGGGGTGTAATTCCTTATTTGCAAAGATCGAAATTCGGAGTTGTACCTAATGCATTCGACTTCATTCCTGTTTCTAACTTCATGTTGGCTTCAGCTTGTCCAAGTAAAAGAAAAGCATGCCGACTACAAACAAACATTTACATATGTGGATTTGCTTCCTCGGGTATCACGGTCAATGTAAAAGAATCATTTTTGGATCTTTTCACCACAACTTTCATCGGTTTTCCAACTTTATCCCCCATAATCTCAATCACCTGTAATTAAATACTATTATTATGCAAGCATATGAACATGAGTTATGTTTTAAACACTTTGAAGTGCCTAAAAAGCACTTGTTTTGTTTTGGGAATAAAACTATGCAGCTAGACCTAAACCAAACTGACCCTGTAAATCCCACTTGAAAATAGACCTACCCTGTACCCCAAGGATTAGAGTGGTTGTTTCCAAGACCCCTGGCTTGTGCAAGAGTGAGAGTTTACTTGTGTTTTTTCTTCATAAAGTTGAAGCATACCTCTTTTATGCTTCCAACAGGCCTCCCCTCAAATTCAATGACAACATCTCCTGGACGGAAACCAGCTCGTTCAGCAGGGGATCCTGGGCTTACCTGTTCAGACAAGTTAATTAGCTGTTCAACAAGAAAAAAAAAAGGACATTCTTGGAAATACAATAAGATTACCATAAATATGAATATCGTAGCCACTTTTATGATAAGCGCAGTAGCTTGTTAGATTTAATGTGGTATATGCTAATATTTTTGGTTTTGCATCATCCTGATTTCCGAGCCTAGAACTGAAATTGAGCTAAACCAAATGAAACTATCCCTGTATATCCCACCTGGATGTGGGGTAGCCACTTGATCATCCCTCTTAAGGGATCATGCAGAATCAGATAAATAAATTGAATTTCATGTGTTACATTCAAGAAAAATCATACATCAGGAAAAGATGAAATGAAGCATACCATAGGCACAAGAACACCTCTGCTAACATCAGGGAACGTCACATCTTTCTCCTTGAGCTGAGCAACAATCATATCATTTAGATCAAGCATTTTCAGACCAAGCCAGGGTCGCACTACTCTCCTACAACAGTCATCTATCAGGTAAAGACGAGTGCCAAAGTTTTCAGAATATGAAACAAACAGGATCCCTTAACGCAACAAACAGGCAAATATGTATGATTTAAGACTGCCGCATATTACAAGTTCAAAAAAACTATATAGACAATTGTGTCGTTGCCACCATAAACAGTTTGCACCATTGATCTCACAATATATAATAAACATCTAGAATTTAGTTTCATTAGCTGATGAGCAAACAAGGCCAAAAGCTCCCAAACACCTCAAACACAAAGAAGTAATGTAATGGATGATGCAGTTACCCCACAAGCAGCTTCAAGAGACGATACTGGTTGGTCCACAATTATGGTTTCATTCTTTGTAGAAGTATCAATTTGAAACATGATTAAGTTTTGAAGGAACAATAATCAAAGATAAAATTCGTATATATGTGTGTGTATATATATATATATATATAGAGAGAGAGAGAGAGAGGCACAGATAAGATATAGAACCTTAATTGGTCAGAGTGGATACAAATAACACAAGATGGAATATTTGAACACTTGAATTCTCACATAACATAAATTGCATTCATGAGGATCCCTAGCAAATTTTGATAAAAGAGCAAAGAGGAACCAACTTGTGGACTGCAATGAAGTAGTGTATTTTTAGTAAATGTTTACCCATTTCTTTTGAAATGCTCTAAAATTTTGGAAACCGAGTCGATTGGTACAGAAAAGCTCAAACCATCAGCTGCCATCACTTTCATGATGTTAACACCTATAACTTCTCCATCAATATTAACAAGAGGTCCACCAGAATTACCCTATACCAAGAAGACCAGAAGAGAATAAGATGAAGTCAAAAAGAGAAGAACAAACTCACTAACTGTTAATCGCCCGAGTATAACAACAGTAATTACTGAAACTTAGGCTGACAAGGTATTAGCCTGTAAAGCACACATCCTTCAACAAGACATTGAGCAATCCCATTGCAAGTAAAAGCAAACAAGCAAAGGAGAAAAAGGAAGTATGTGACAACGTAGCAGCGACCCCAAATCCCATCCCTCAGAAAGAAAGAAAAGAACTCTAAAATAACATATTATGGCAAAAATGAACAAGAAACTAGGTTTGGGATCTTTCTGTGAGTTGTACTCATCTTCAACTTTGTTCAATGCCTGATGAAATCCTTCTCCAAAAAAAACCAACCTATAAATATCCTGTTTTAAATTTGTCTGGGTACCAGAACATAAACAAGTTCCCCCCACCCACTGTGGCAGAAAGAAAGAGAAGTACCAAAGACGGATATACAAATTCACACAGATAAGATATTGATCAAAATTTACAGTACCCCATTGATGGCACAATCAGTCTGCAAATACTCTCTCCGCATTCCTCCGAGACCCAGATCACTGCTCTTACGATCAACACAGCTAAAGACAGACAAAAAATCAGTTGAAAAAAGCATCAGCTGTAGTGAATATTTCCACCATATTTATCCACCAACAAGAAGAACACGACCACGAAAGATCATCATACGCTCAGGCATGGAGCAAGTGTCGATAGTTCTATGAGTTCACTTCAGTCATATAAAGAGAAAGCTCATTTGTGTGATAAGCACTACTTAAGCAGTGAACAGTATTCAAATCATGCTTATTTTCATTTTCCTTGCCTTACAATACCAGCTGTAATTGTGTTTTGAAGAGAAAGGGGGCAGCCCAAGGCTACTACCCAATCACCAGGACGCAGTGAACTTGAAGACCCAAGCTTTGCAGTTGGGAGTGGAGTTTTAGATTTTATCTTCACAATAGCAATATCAGCATGCAGATCGGCGTTCACCACTGTACCCTCAAAACTACGGCCATCTTGTAATGTCACTTCAACCTGCAGCAAATAGTAGTAGTGACTGACAATTAAATGTTCGACAGACATTGGTATGCCTCAAGATGGAAGCGTTATCCTGATTAAGCTGGTGTAACAAAGAGATGGGCAAATGAGGCTCGGATTAATAGCTATGGTAAAAGATTTGAACACTTGATGGAGAACCAAAGAGAGAAAATACAACAGCATAGTTTAATGAGGAGCTTCACCCACATAATAACAGCCAACAGGTATGAAAAGATGCTATCCTCACATAATAACAGCCACAGGTATGCAAAGATGCTATCCTCACATAATAAGATCATGGTGCCTGCTCTATGCAGCCTCATTCATGCAAGAGATACTAAATGCAAACTACAACTTACCACCCTGCCAGCACTAATTCCTCATTGTTGCCTAATAAACAACTCAATATCAGTTGTCACAAGTCACAACTCACAAAGTGTAAAAAATCTAGTAATGAATGTTGTTCAGGACAATAACTGCTAGCTTGCATAATAACTTCAGAAACATCAAAGATCACCATTACAAGAGTTACTTAGGACAATATTGAGCAAGTACGGTACACTATGGCCTACCTTTCCTTTGGATGAAGATGAGAAGCCTTGAAAATCAACCACCACATGAGCACATGTCAATATGGTACCATCATCATCTATTATGGTTCCAGAGCCAATGCTGTTCCCCACGCTCATCCCACGGAAACCTTCAAGTGGCCATCATTTGTTTAATAAGGTTACTACATTCTTCAAGTTGCAGTTATATATTCTCAAAATAAACCTGTTGGAACTGAAAGATTGACGACAGCAGGGCCTACTCTAGCAGCTGCATTGGCAATTGTATCCCGGCCCAAACATCCACAACAGGGTTTTGGTGGTTCACTAGCCTCTTTGAAGGGCGCTTCTTTATTTACATCAGTTGCAGACACTGAGCTAGCACTACAAAAAGATATAGGAGGGTTTCCTACAAGTACACCATGCAACTGATTATAAGAATGATGATAAGATGTAAATGAAAAAGATAAGAGAAAATGAATAGAAATGACAGACCACATCCTGAAGGACCCAAGGAAGGAAATGGATAGTCGGGCACAATGTCTGCTGTACCCCATGCTGAAGATAATGTGTAACGCAATGGTACTGGAATGGAAAATCGTATCGACCTATCTATAGTATGAACATGGAAACATTGGAATTACGAATATGAAGGTAAATAAGAACAAGGAAAATGGTTATACAAAATAGCCTCTAAATTTTACAATTTGTTGCTTCTAACCAAAGGGTAATTTGATAATCTACTAAATAGAAAGTAAGCTACAGCTATCAGTTTCCTAGTTGCTTACCCTAAAAACAAAAATCACCAAGCTTACAAAAAAAGGTGAATCAATCATAATTGATCTTTGCAATATTTTTTTTTAATAAAATCATAGCAACAAAAGCCATTAGACCATATGTTTCCCATAGCCAGATCTTTCCAGATTTCAAGAAACGATACAAACTGAATGGCTCTTTTCCTTTGTTGTATTTGACAAAGTTGTACTGCTCAATACTTGATCCAAAGGATCTCATTCTTCTACGACTTTCAAAGTTTGAAATCCTTCTGATAATTCTTTTGAACTAAACAAAGAAAAGAATCTTCTTCGCATCATAATAGCCTAAATTACTTTTTACTGTTTACACCATATAAGAATGAACTGAGAAGAAATTGAAGATGTGAAAATGATAAAGAATAATTTTCATAAATAGGAGCAAATTTTAGAAAACCTCCTGCCATTGTACATATCAGAATGCACAAATCCCAAATCCGTTTTTCTTTGTTTATACAAAATTCCGATATCAAATTCTTATTTATGAAAATTGCCAAATCTTTGACAAAATTCCAACGTACTACTCAGACTTTGGATTTAGAGCTACATTCTACTCATATGGCCAAATAGGCTGTCTCAAAATCGATGACATGTATTTAATTTTACATTTGAGTACATAAACAAATCTTTAGGTGTAGCTCTTTCCATATAACTTGAGATAGTACCATTACTTTTTGACTAAAAATCACGAATGCTAAACCGAACAGTTTCATCAGAAAATAGGATACCATATCCCTAAGTCTGGAACAGAGGGAGTAGCATCTAAAATCCAGACAGTAATTCAACAAAGGCTTATACTCCATCCTTTCCACAATTAGAGTCCAGATTGGGAGAGAGAGATTTCCAAATAGGTAGATTCATGAAATGAAATAAGGGTCCTCAAGTCTAGCATAACAACATCAACCCTTGTTTGTCCCATGACCAGGGCCAGCCCTGGCCACGTGCAGCCCGTGCGGCCGCACAGGGCATCAAAGCCTAAAGGGGCATCAAGTTGTCATCTATTACTAGTTTTGGGTTTAATAATTTGGGAATTAGACAACTGAGCTTTAACTATAAAAACGGCCCAAGGCCTAGTAGTGATGAATACTGAATGCACATCATGAACCGGTTAACGCAATCATTCCAACAACTCAATCTAATTTATATTGTTCTTCAAAGTTCGGCTATTTCGATTTTCAAGGCATGGAGTTCTCTTTCCAGCCGATTAACGGTCATGAAATTAGATTCAAGAAATCAAAGATGGAAATCTCGCTATGCTGTTATATCGGTCAGAATACGAAATATCGGTCAGGACCGATATTCGATATATCGGTTATATCGGTGATATATCGGTCCAAAATAGCGGTTAACATAATATTTCTTAGAATTATATATATAATATGCATTAATTAGAGTTTAGAAATATAGTTTCAAAATTAAAACATCACATCATCTAAAGTGTTCAAAAACGAGCTAATATAAAAGAAAGAAGAAGACCGTTGTGGAGGCAGATCAATTTCAGACCTAATTTAAGTTAACAAGCCCAAAAAACTAGGCCCATGAAGTAACAAAAGCCCAAATATTTAAACCCTAAAAAATCGATATATCGGTCCGATATTTAAATCAAAATATCGCTAAAAATCGGAAAATAACGCCGATAATATCGGGGACGATATTTATGGACCGATATTTTCTCTAGGAGCGATATCCGATATATCGCCGATATATCGACGATATATCAACGATATATCGCGATATTAACAGCATAGAAATCTCGAATGACTGATTTCTACTGTTGATTGAACTTACCGAGTTGTTGTATGAGTCATGTTATGATTTATGAATCTTTAAATCTTTTTGCAAAAAAAAATCTAAATTTCTAACTGATTATTATAAAGTTGGGTCATGCGGTCGTATGGTTACTGACCTACTAGGCTAAGTTAAGGGGCTTTTATCATTTTGATAATGGGTCTTCCTCTTGCATATTGAAATATCTGAGAATTGAAATTCTCAATGCACATGAGCACATCACTATATCAACATAGATGGAGCACACCACACAACATTAATAACATATTGTGATATTGTCTCAATTATTGGGCACTTGTTCTTTGCAATGCATTGTAACATAGATTATGAATATTACAATTTATTATTGTTCTTTTGACCTTTGTTTACTTTGGGGTTTGGCATTATCGCATTAGATTTAGGGGTGTTTGATTGATTTTTTTATTAAGGTCTATATGCATAAAGTTGTCTGTATGAATTAATCTGTTTGTATAAGTTGGAAAAGTTTTTGTTTAAGAGAGTTTTTTCGCAGATATAATGAGCGTTTTTTTAGTTGGAAGAGACATGTTTGGAAAAAAAAACTTGGTTTTCTATATAAAACCCCCCCTAGAAGCTTACTGGATAAGTCACTTTCTATATCATTAAGCCACTACGAAATAGTCATATATAGTTGAGCGAATAAGTTGTTAGTTCCATTAGCCTTTAGTCGCCTGTAACTTTTGAGTTTTACTTTTTGCTTACTATGACAGTAATTTGGATGTAATTTACTATTTTAGTTCAAAACTAATTATAGTTTTTCTTGTCTTTAAGTCTCATATATTGAAATAAAGTTTCTATTTTGCTAATTTCAATTTAGAAAAGGGAAAACTGAAAAAAAAGGAAGCACGATCTTAATCCATGATTTATCTTTTTATCATTCTATATTTTGTATTAGGGGTTTTGGTTTTTATGTCCTCCCATTGTATTTTTTATTATTATATTAACACAGGGATGAAACACTTTGAATAGGTTTTGACCTCTTTAAAAAATTGCATGTTTCGTTGTTTCATTGGCTTAAAAAAATAGGTTGGGGGCATTTTTTATTATTTTGGAACAGCATCAAAAATCTTAGCACCTCCCTTGCCCATGACTTGAGAATATGGACTTCAATTGCGGAATGGAGGTCGCAATACAGCTAACAAAATGCTTCTCATTAACAACTATCATCTGTTTTATGGAGGGGTAAAAGAACGATGCTAACCAGAATCTTTGCTATCAAGCATATAGGCGACTCCTGATCCCCCAGCAGCCAATGCTACTAAACGAGTGAATCCATTATCTTTTAGCAAAGAAATTCTTCTCTGAAGATGATAAACAATAAACAACGAACAGGAAAGGCAATTAACGATCGCTACATGAACTCTAAGTTATCAAATGTCTCCATAGAAATTGAACAGAAAAAAGGGGATGCATCTTACCAACAAATATCTCATGATTCAAGCAAAGGAATTACGTCTAAGAAATTGGATGTAGAACCCTAACGAAAACCCTCAATGTGATGCTCTGTTTCTACTTTCTTCCGGAGAGCGTAGGCAAGAAGGAAACGTAAAATGTTTAAATCGAGTCCCTGAACTTTTGTATTTTATCATCTGGGCCACTTCCTTTGTATTTTTGTTAAATAGACCACATAACTTGATTTTATCAAAATATTAACACAAAATAGATAATAGAGTAAACTACAAATTTGGTCCCTATACCGATGAATATCAACCCTTTTACCTCGTGAATTGTGCACCAATAAGCTTGACATATATCAGACCAATTATCGTTAAATCTTTTATTTCTCTCTCGATAAACAAAACAGTAGTTAAACTCACGACTAATGCATTTATAACACAAGACTTTACTACTCAAGCTGCGATATATACTCATGGTCAATACATCGCAGGATTCATCATCGCATTTGCAGAGCTCAAGATTGTCAAAATTCAAAGGTTTTTTATGTACTTAGTAACCTGTGATGATTGTGAAAGCTACTGCAGATTGTCTAGCAGTGGTTTTTTGACGCTCGTTTGAACAACCTCTGCAATTTTCAACAATTTTATTGTTCAAGTTTCAGAAGTTAACCTTCACAATTTACTTGTACCTAATTTTGAAAAAAATTATCACCAAACATGCCATTTAATGAAATTAAGTAAAAAAGTATTAATTGCAATACATTTATAATTCATCTATTTATGTTAACTACAAATGTATCATACCAATTTAAGTTTTCATTACATTGTCTTACCAACCCACAAACATCGGCAAGAAGTTAGCAACAGAAATACCTTTTCAAATGCGATAAAATGCAAAAAAAAAAACCCATTGATAGCTAAACCCTTCGAGATTTTGCAGATAAAAGGGTAGAAAAGTTTGAGTTGTCATCAAATGTTCGTGTTTGTGGGACACTTTTTGTGTTATAATACTTGAAAATTGAGAAGTTTATGCAAACACAATGATAATTATGTTTGATTGAAAAATGCAACTGATGTAAGGAAGCAACTGAAAACGAACATCAGTGTGTATTATTTATCCTTCTTCAAGTAGCTGCATCTTAATGGTTTGGTTTTATTTATCAAAACTATGAGCATAAACCTATTTTGTTTAAACTTGTATCCAACAGATATAACAAACTGTATTATCTATACAATAGTGAAGAGAGCTTTAGAAGCAGATGCTAAGAAGTAAGAAGGTCATCTATACACTTGCTCAGTGGTGTGGATGAATCTATACCTCTGAAAGGCTATAGCAACTAGTAAATCATGCAAGTATACATGGCTCGCTAATATCGTTCATAGCAAGTAATGATGGTAAGAATACTAGATAAAAGTGAGAATGATGAAGGTGTGAGAGAAAGAACATGTAGGAGATGGGTATGAAGTGTTGTAAGGGGATATGTTTAGCAACCCCCTATATAAATTTGAGTTATAATTTTAAACCGATTCACGTACAAGTTCTGATTAAGATTCACATGTTAATGTATGTTAGGATTCGCAAGTTCATATATGAACCAATATACACCTGATTATCACCATCTGATAATGGTTAGTTAAGATCTTTTGTGTTTAGTTCCGTTTCAAATGATCAATGAAGGAGATCCAATTTCATGTTCGTAGATGAGATTTAGGCAAATGAGATTTAATTCGATTTTTTGGATTGTAAAGTCTTCAATGATTTCATGGTTAAAGATTAGATCAAAAATCGAGGATTTTTAATATCTAAAAACGATTATAGAAAAAAAGATAAATTAGGATATTTTATTTTGTCCATAATTCTATATATTATATATGTCTTTCACTTAAATAAATAAAAAAATCTAAGATGAATTACATATTTGATTTTTTAAAATTCACGTATGAATTTGAGTTATAATTTGAATTAACGTTTTCTGCAAAGAAAACTATACGGAGGCAGGGTCATAAGGAGATGGAATGTTCTCAGGATCCGAGGAGGGCTCCTGCACATTAAAACCTGTTTTTTAGCTCCTAAACTCATTTATTTCACACCTACTCTTTTCGCTCTCATTAACTTTTGGTTATGGATTATTTACTTCACCCAAATTGATCCCTTCAAGTGTATTTAAGAGATTGGAGCTAAGATTCAAGTATTAGGTGTTTAGAGCTTCAAGATCTTCATCTTCTCCCCGATTTTCCAACATTGTTGACCATTTTCTAGGGTTTTCTTAATTGTGAGTTCATCTTTGATGGTTCTCGTATACTGATTAAGAACAAGATATCAATAAATACAATTAAGAACATAATATGAATGAGGAAGTCATCATGTCATTGATTATTCAACTGTATATGAGTACAGAGAATCTAGAAGGAAAATACGTACAAAGATTACAAATCTAGTTGTCCAGATCACACTAAAACAGATCTAGCAAACTCCTATTTATACATGAAAGGCTAGGCTAAGGTTACAGAACATTGTAATGCAGATAAATGAATATCTAACACGTGGCCTAATATCTTGAGTTTCAATCGTCAATCTTGAGAAATAAATCTGAATAAATTAGCTAAATACCTAACTATGGACAGTGTACCCAGAGTTAGTTCCGAACTCGGATAACACATAGTCGAACTCTGGAAACTTTAAAGCTTTTTTGTGTACCCGTATTCTGGAAGCACTTCTTCGACTTAGCTCCAAACCTTGATCCCATTCATGTTATATCTGAACTCTGAATTAACTCTAAAGCCAAGTCTTCAGACTTAGAAAAACATTTACAACTTTGAACCAAATTTTATATTTCTATAATCATATACTTTTATAAAATCATATACATGTTATATATTTTAGTTCCTTAAAACTTTTATTTCATATTTGAATAATTCTATACCAACTACGTCAAATTTGTGATTTTTGGAACTTGATGTATTTTGATGAAATAAGTATGGAGAATGCTTTTATACACAATAGGAGTGATTACCTCAAAGTTTGATAAATTTTGAAACCTAAATTTGAGATATTCATATCATTGGATTTATTAGTAAAATATGGTTTTACTCACTTGATGATAATTATATACAAATGATGATATGTTGGGTACAAGGTAACGTATTTGGAAGGTGAAATACCTCAGACTAGAATGCAATGGATCCATAGGCTTATAAGTCGACTTATGGTGATTAAGATGGGATAATTATTCCCACATCATGGCTAGATAAAGAAAATTATATAACCGAGGGACTCGGACTACAAACAATGGATGGTTGAACTCGATGACCTTGTATGACTCGTAACAATATATTTCTAGCAAAAAAGCATATCTTAGGGGCCGTTTACCAAACACTTATCCGGTAAGTGCTTATTGGTAAAATTTAACACTATCATTTACTTACCGAGTAAGATTTTAGTCTACCAAAATGGTATCGTATGCAACAATTTACCCGGTAAGCGCTTACCGTAGTAAGAGTCGTCGCCCTCACTTACCGGGTAAGACTCTTAATCCTTATCTCGATCTTACCGGGTAAGATTCTTGGTTCTTATCATATTCATCCCATAAGGTAATGTGACTTGGTGTTCACTTATCCGAATAAGCGTTTGGTAAACGGCCTCTTAGTCACTGGGACTCGAACTACAGACCATGGGTAGTTGAACTCGGTAACCAATGTACCATAATAGAAGATCTATAACATTGAAGTGTGACTTATTTTTATGTTCCGCCACTGTCAATGGTAAATTGGGTCTCCTCATCATCTTATGATACTTTTCACCCTTCCAAGGGTAAATTTAACTTATTTATATATAAAACGACTTGATTTAAAGCAATGTCTCAAGTTTTAACTGTTTTATGACTTTATTCCATAATATTATGTTCTCACTAGACGTTAAGTGGAGCGACGGTTGCGTTACGGGGAATTTTTTGGGATTGCACTTTTGGAGATGCATAGCGTCACACGCTGATAGAAATCTTTTGATGAACGTAGCGACACCCGATTTTAATCATTACTTAGTTTGGTTTAGATTATTAGGTTGTTGGCTACCATTCTCTTGATTGTTGTAAACACTTACATTTCCTCGTTAATTGGGTGATTCTTATTATTAAAGTATCGTTTGTATAGTTGGTTTTCCTCCTTAAATTTACACCTATTTTAGGGATGTTACAGAGTAGTTCATATAGTTGTCTCGGAAAATCTTCAATATTTCCATTGTGGTGTAAGTGTGGGTATTGGATACTATTCTGTTAATACCATTCTTACATAATAGTTTCAATTAACATACTGGACTGTAAAAACCACATGTTGACAGTATGGTGATGGATGTGTCCTTAGCATGATTATAATGGTATAATTTGTAAAAAAAAAAACATTTTATTTTAATGTATTTTAGTTAATATGTGATCATGTATGTTAATATAATAAAATTATAAAATAAAAAATGAATAACTAAGGAATAAAAAAAATTAAATATATAACGATAA